AATAATGAATTACAGTCGTCCAGCCTGGAAGTAATAAATGCATGAACTAGTTTTTCAGCGTCACTCTGAGACAGGATATTTCTAATTTTAGAGATGTTGCACAAATGGACACAGAGTAAATGTTCCCACGTTTAACAGCTCTGAGACATTTTATTTTGAAACTTTACACATACAGGAAGCGTGACCAGCCTAAGGAAAAACTGTAGTGTTATTAAAACTTGATGGAAGTCTAAGGTGTGTTGCTTATGAAATCTATGAAGTGCTACAGAGAAAATTACATTTTATTTATGTAATTAACACATTTTGAACTCTTAAAGAAATATAACAAAAAGAAAGCTGAACTAAAATGATCCAGCAAACAAAAACTGTTATATCTCCTTTGGGCTTTTGGAGCCTGACTTTTAAAAATAACTGGAAAAAAGCACTATGCTGCTAAAAAAAATGAAAAATAGATATTTGCAAAATTCTGCCTAAATATGTATTTACCTGGTTAATGTGTGTGGCGGGGCGTGGTCTGCAGCGCCGCTGCAGGGGAGGCGGATGCACCAGAGCAGCACCCGCAATCACGCCTCGCCGCCTTAGTTCACGGTGGAGAACAGCTGCTAATGTGGATAATGTGGATCCCAAGATCCATAACTGGCCTACCCGGGGTTGGCAGTCTCGATAAATGCACGGCGTTTCGGCGGGTACACCGGCTTCCGCAAGTGTGACGCTTATTTTGAGCGATGAAAAAATAATAGAATATAATTTTATTTTTATATTTCAATATCACAATAATCTTCCAATTTAGAACCAGATGCTGCTTCGTTTACGGGTGTCAGGCATATTTATGTGTTTTTGCGATGCGCTCGCACAGCCCTCCTCACCGCTGTCTGTCTCACTCACTTACTGAGAGGACAGACGCACGCTCCACTTGGCTTTCGCGTCTCTCACCTTCTCTGTTTTTCACATAATGACATTATCCTTGTATGTGATTGGCCACAATATGGAGGGATTGGAGCATAGCTGAGCCCCTGTGTGAGAGCTGAGCAGCGAAAGGAAATTAAGTGAGGGTAGAAATGACTGAAAGATTAATTGGCTCTGCTTTGAGTTTTGTTCAAAAAACAGTGACTTCATGTAGGAAAAAAATAAATATCACATGTGCAGGACACCTTAAACTAGTTTTTTAATTAAGCAGCAAAGCAGAACAAAGTCGGGCTGTATCAAGACACGAGGACCAAACCCCAATTCAACCAGACCCAGAACTGATCCAGAACTAAAACAGGACTACAACAGTTCAAAATCAGGACTACTGAGGACTTAACCAAGACAGAACCAGAATCAGAACTAGATGATAGCAGCACTAAAAATCATCATAGACCTGCACAACACTTGTTTTTTAATTCTACCAAAGTCCAATATTTAGATTGAGAAAAGTTTATATAATTATTTAGCCTCGTTGTGCAAACAAGCTGCAAAACTTAATAAATATAGAACGTAACAAAGTATGTAAAGTAACAAGTGGCATCTAAAAAGTTACACTCGGTACTGGATACATGTTCTGATGAGTTTTGGCAAACAACCATGTGACTAACAGGTGTGTCTCACCTGCTTTTGTTCATCTCTGTGCTGACAATCAAGTCAAACACCAACATCATCAAATCTACAGTTGAAACCAGATATTTACTCTTCAGATAAAAACACTTTTTTAATTGTAACATCAAATCAGACTAAATGTTTATTTTTTTAGATAAATATAAAAACATATTTGTTAACTTTAAGAGTAAAGAGAGAAACTGTCTGTATTTCTTGTAAATGGCACCAAATTGTATTCAAACTGAGCCACACTTATGGAGCTCCACAGTTCTGTTCCTGGTGTTTTGTTGACATGTCTTGATGTTCCCATGTCACAGAAACAGCCTCTGTGTTTTGGGGGTGTCTTATATGCATCCACAGGTGTGCCACCAATTTACTCACATGGACTCTACTAACCAATCAGAAGCTTCTTCAGCTCAGAATCAAATCGTCTGGAGTAGGGCTGTGCGATATGACCAAAATCTCCAAAAGTTGCTTCTGTTCATCTGGACGCAGCGTTTTGTGGGAGAAACGTTTCGTCATCATCAGGTGACGTCTTCAGTCTCAGCTGACTGCAGCTTTCAATCTTATAAACAGTACATCTGCATAATGACTGAAACCAGCACCACTGAAGCAACAATGGGCTGGGAGGTCAGTTCCTTAATCGTAATTATGCAAATTCTCATGACCATTGATCAAAAACCACAGATCAATAACCATGAGTACCATTCACAGAGAGTTGGGGAATGGCTGCAATCACAGAACTGTAAGATGGTGACAGATGTACCCTTAGGCCCCTCCTCCATTCAGAGATGGTCTTTCCCTTTTCACGTAAATGATCTCCTTGACTCCGCCCTCAAACCAGCGTTCCTCCCTGTCCAGGATGTTACATCCTCATCACTGAGAGAGTGTCCACTGGCCTGTAGGTGTGAATAGTCTGCAGAGTCCTGGCCTGACGAGGCAGCTCTGCTGTGTTGGTCCATCCGCTTCACCAGAGGTTGTTTAGTTTCCCCGATGTATAAATCCTGGCACTCCTCCTGCACTTACCAGCGTACACTATGTTACTCTGTTTGTGTCGGGGACCCGATCCTTGAGGTGGACAAAGTTTTGGCGCAGCGTGTTTTGGGGTTTAAAAGCCACAGAGACCCGGTGTTTAGAGAAAATGCGTCTCAGCTGCTCTGATACTCCTGACACGTACAGGATCACTACAGGTTTTCTCTTAGGCAGCGGTTGTCCTTCTCTCCTGGATCTGCTGGAGCTTTCTTTAGGAGTCTTCCCAGCTTTGACAAAAGTCCAGCTGGGATAACCACATTTACTCAGGGCCTTCTTGATGTTCTTCTGCCTCCCTGGCTGCTGTGTCAGTGGGGATGGTGTTCGCTCTTTGTTGCGTCCTGATGACACCCAGTTTGTGCTCCAGTGGATGATGAGAGTCAAACCTTAGATACTGATCAGTATGTGTAGGTTTACGGTACACGTCAGCTTTTAGATGTCCCCCATTACTGATGGAAATCTCACAGTCTAAGAAGGCTAACCTGCCACTGTTCATATCCTCCCTGGTGAATCTGATGTGTCGGTCCACCGAGTTAATGTGATCCGTGAAACGTCCTGAAATTCTGAGTCTGTATGGTTTACCGAAAATACATAAACAGGGAGCACCTTTAAGACCGATTGTCTGCACGATCAACTCGGTCACCTATAACATCTCCAAGTTTCTGGCTTCGATCCTGCTGGTGGGCAGCTCTGAACACCACGTCCAGAACACTTTGGATTTTGTTGAGAAGGTGAGAGATGTCATTATGGATCCAGATGAAACCATGGTGTCCTTTGATGTAGTCTCTCTCTTCACTTGCATACCCACCAC